CTATCTCTCTCTTCTCTTTTTTCTCTCTCCTTTTTTCTCTTCTCTCTCTTTCCTTCTCTCTTTCCTCTCTTCTCTCTCTCCTTTTTTCTCTTCTCTCTCCTTCTCTCTCTCTCTTCTCTACAAATATGTCAATTTCTCCATCTTTAAAAAAAAAACAACAAAAAAAACCACTCACCAGTCATACAGCTTTTACCTTACAAAGTAATGTAGGAGAAGGGGCCAGGAGTCTGGAAAGACCAGGAAGTAGTAGCCAATACGTGTTAGGAAGAAAGAAGACCTCCCTTGACAGGGGACTCTCTCCCTTTCAAGGTGGGAAATTCTCCTTAACACCTCCCCCACCCTGGCTCTTTTAACACTGTCTACAACCCCTCTCTCTTCTTCATCTGTAAAATGAGCTGGAGAAGGAAATAGCAAATCACTCCAGTATCTTACCAAAAAACCCTCCCCCAGAAAAGGATCACAGAGTCAGATATGACTGAACAAGAGCCCCTAGAACATAGAATGTCAGCTCTGGCAGAGAACTTAGAACACAGAATGTCAGAGCCAGAAGGAGCCTTAGAACATAATTATATCAGAGCTGGGAGGGACCTTTGAATACAGAATGTTAAAATAGAACTTTCGAGTTGAAAGAGAACTTAGAACATAAGAACTAGGAAAAATCTAGAACATGAAATGTCAGGGCTAGAAAACACTTTGGAATACAAAATGTCAAATCTGGAAGAGAACTTTGAATACAGAATGTCAGACCTAGAAGGGGCCTTAGAATAAAAATCGTTTGACCTGGAAGGGCCTTAGGGGTTGTCTTGTCTAAACTCCCAGAGCTGACGGCCAAATAATAATAATCATTATATAATAAATACATGATGCTTTGAGGTTTGCAAAGTGCTGTGCATATATTAACTCATTCGGTGCCCACAACAACCCTGTAAGGCAGGTACAGATGAGGAAGGTCACACAGGGTTGCGTTTCAGGGCCTTACTGACTCCAAACCACAGCTGCTTAGCCTGGCCAGCTCTGGAAATTAGGTCCTGATGATCTAAAGCACCTGTGGGTGTGGGCAGGTTAATTCATCCCTGATCTTTTGCTTCCTAGAGTCCTGATTGCTTTCATCTGGGAATATGAAGTTCTGGGGGGGGGGGGTCCCATCTAATGCCGAATATGAGAATAAGGCACCTAAGAATCTAAGTTCTCAAGAGCTTTAGAGGAAACAAAGCTGCCACCACAGCATTTTTGTAATGAATTGTTCAAACCTGCCAGGATCAGAGAAAACAGGAAGGTACCATGCATATATTTTCACCTGTTTTCCTCTTCTTATTCCTTGACCATGCTCTACCTTCAATCATGTAAGCCCTAAGAAAGATGGAGAACACCTGGGTAGATGATTGGTAATTCCCTTAATTAGAAGTGAAGGGGCTACTGACTGGGGCCTATAACAGGAAGCCTAGGGCGTTGTTTCTTGGCCCTCTCTGCTAACTTCAAATGGTCTTGAAGGGGCCTACTTGAAGGCAAGGAAATCTGGTCTCCTGGGAGCCAAACATGGATGCTCAGCAGATTCAGAGTAAAGAATCTGAAAGACTCAGGGAACTCCCAAAGAGGATTTACCCTATGTGTTTGGAGCATCCCATCAAGAGAGTGTGCCCAATGGGCACCACGGTATCTATTGATGTTGTGAGGTAAGAGTAAGGGAGCTTCCCTGGACTGATAGCCCAGGTGTTGTCATTGACACGTGGCCCAAGAATGTTTAGAATGTCTGAGGCCACCCTGGGCTAGCTGTAGGACCAGTGAATACATTGCTTACATTTATGGTGAGACTCAACTTCCTCTCCTGTGGAATGAAGGAGCTGTACCAAACAGCCTTCAAGGCTTTTTTCGGCTCTGATGTTCTGAAACTCTCCAGAGCCCTGGGCACAGCAGGCTGCTGCCCATGTGGGTGTGTTGGGCCCTGGGCTTCCTGATGACTCTTTGTTGGCTCCGGTTGAGAGGCAGGATGCCATGGTAGAATGGGTAGTGGATTTGGAATGAGAGAACCCAAAGTCAAATCTACTCACAAACCTTGGAGGGAGGACCAAGGCAAGCCCAGGAAAAACCCCAAAGGAAATTGTCAAAAACTTTTAATACAGCCCAGTTCCACTTGGGATGTAGTCTCTGTTCTGGGCTTGGCTGGGATGGACATGGAGATCTTGGAGCTGGGAGATGCCTTGAAGACCAAGCTCAGCCCTCTCTATTAACCAATGAGGGAACAAAGAACTAGAGACCGGGAAGTGACTTACTCAGTCATCTATCATACTAGCTATAGAACCTGTTAACATTAGAACTCCAGTCTCTTGGTTCTAAGTCCAGGGTTCTACCCCACTCACCATGCTGTACTCATAAGCCTCAGGTTTCATTTGGCTGGCTCTCTTGGAACCAAAGCCTTGTGGGAAGGGTAGAAAATGCAACCATGGCCCTGCCTACTTAACCAGGTCTCATTCTCTTCATTTCTGATATCAGGTTTGCCCCTAAGGGTTATAAGACCTTTGAAGTATCAACTTCTGAAGGACTCCTTTATAATGTGGAAGGTACGAAATTCAACTTTGCCTTCTCTGGACATCCCAGCAGATGGTACCTGCAGCCTTCCTGCCTCCTCATTCTTAAGGCACTCGCGCCCAGCTCTAAGATGTTTTCAGATTGGGTAAGTTTATGATGGGTCACAGGAGACATGGAGGAAATTACTGCTTGGGCACACCTTTATCCGTCCAGTAACTTGCCTTTCATTGGATGCTAGGTCCTACAATCCCACCTTCCAAGAGATACCATGGACAAGGGAAAAGGATAGGCCCACTGGGTTCTGCCCTGCTCAGCCCAGAGCTGGACTGTGGTCTCTGGGTACCACATTTAGGAAGGACATGGAAAAGCTGTCCAATATGTAGTTGGTAATTAAAATACCAGACCCCAAGAGAGAAATGGGCTGGATGTATAAATCCAATAATTTTCATAGAATTAATTGAACCCAGTGGAGTTGATGATAAGACTTTTCATGATGGAGAATATTGAGAGAAGTCCCAGGTCAGAGCCTTGACATTGACCCAAAGGTAAAGGTGTTACAGGCTTTAGAGCTTACAGGACCTTTTGAGACCATCTGCTCTAATCTCCTATTTTTGCAGATAGGGAAACTGAAGCCTAGGGAGGAAAGGAAATGTATTCAAGATCACACAACCAATTAGTAACAGAGCTTAGAATTACAATCTAGGTCATCCAACTATAGTTCCAGGTTCTTTCCATATTGAATATGCTGAGGCACTTAAGTGGTTAGAACATTCTGGAATTGCAAAGAACTGAATTTAAATCTGGCTTCAGACTCATACTAGCTGTGTGACCCTGGGCAAGTCATTTCACCTCTGCCTCTGTTTCCTCAACTGTAAAATGTGGATAATAGTAACACCAACTCCCAGGGTTGTTGTGAGAATCAAGTGTGATAAATATTTGTGAAGTGCCATACTAGCACATAGTAGGAGCTATATAAATGTTAGCTATGTTGGTGTCTACCCCCAGGAATCCATCCAATTCAAGCATCTATTGAAACCCCTTCCAGGCACTGCGCTACTCACTAGGGGGAAAATCAAAACAAAACGCTAAATTAACAACTCTTCCCCGGGAGCTTGCAATCCACCTGGGTGGGGGAAGGGACAATAGGTGCACATAATTTGAGGGAAGGCTTTGGGTGTGGGAATAGACCCATAATTTCATTGGCATAGGAAATTCTCCCAGAAAAGAACTCCTCCCAACATTCATATTTCAACCCAAAGGGAGAATTTGTTTTGCTCAACTATGCAGATTTGTTATGTTTTTTCTTTCCTCCTCAGTGAGGAAGGAAAGAAAAGAATTTTATTATTGAAAAATAAATTTTTAAAAATGCCTCTACCATTGCAGATTATAGTATTTGCTTTCTAACTTCTAAAGCTGCTTGGGGCATTGAGAAGTCAAATGACCTTTCCACTTGTCACATTGCTAAAACTCCCCATTAGACTTAAATCTAGCTGGCCTGTCTGACTCTGAGGCTGGTTCTTTTCCCAATGTACCAATCTACTTCTCAAAATAGGGAGAGTAAATAGAAAGTAATATAGGAGAAGGGGCCAGGAGTCTGGAAAGACCAGGAGGTAGTACCCAATATGTGTTAGGAAGAAAACTAAGGATTCTGTGGGGGCAGAAAATGGTCCAGGTATGGGGACAGCCTCTTCAAAGGCACAGAGATGAGGGATGGAATGTCATCTCCAGGGAACTAACCAATAAGCCAGTTTCTCTGGAATATAGAGTGTATGCAGGGGAATGATGGGGAAAGATCACTTGGAGCCAGACTGCTCTAGTAGAACCCAGCTGCTTCAGGCTCCATTGTGATGGACCTGGAAACTATAGACATAGCCCATCCTTGAAATATTGCTGTGGGGTGGGTAGATAGGCGGCAGAGTGGATACAGCACCGGCCCTGGAGTCAGGAGGACCGAAGTTCAAATCCGGCCTCAGACACTTGACACTTACTAGCTGTGTGATCCTGGGCAAGTCACTTAACCCCATTGCCTACCAAACAAAACAAAACAAAACAAAACAGATGTTGGTGTCTTTACAGGTTAGAGTTAACTACTTTAAAAGTGGAGAAGAACATTCTGACTGTGTGGCCGTGATGAATGTCACCTGTGTCTGTGAGTAACTGGCCTAAAGGGGTAAAGAGAATGGGGAGTGAGAAATTGACACCAAGCACAGGCTTGGCTTAGGCAGCCCGAGGGAGGGAAGGGCAGGGGAAGGATTAGCTGTAGAATGAAGGCTTGTGTCCACGTGGGGAACACCATAGTTGGTCAGTGACCTTTTAGAAGGGTGTCTGCATGAATGAAGGCAGGGCAACAAGCAGTTATTAAGTGTCTACTGGATTCCAGGGCCTTGCTAAGCACTGGGGATACAAATACAAGCAAAAAGAAATAGTCCCTGCCCTCAAGGAGCCTCCATTCCAATGGAGGAAGACGACACATGAAAGGAAGCTGAAAAGTAGAGATTGAGAATGAAGGTACTCACGTAGGGATGTAGTGTTATGGTCCAGAAAGTGAAAGGCAGAGCCAGGAGGAGAAGATCGGTTGGCTGGCCTGGGCCTCCACCCAAAATGGAGGCAACATCACCAATGGAAGAAGGGCACTAGTGGGGTGTGGGGATATTCCAGAGTGAGACTGCAGCTGATATCAAGGTGTGATATCAAGGTCCGGCTGGAGGAGAGCAAAGGTTGGCCAGCCTGAGTGAGCTTGTCTCAAAATGGAGACACTGGAAGGAGCTCCCCAATTTGAGAAGAGAGCTGGCAGGGTGTATGGGAGTCCCAATGGCTCCCACAGGCAGTGAGGGAATAGGATGAACATGCCAAAGAGTAGTTTGGAGAGGTTGGGTCATCTTCTACCTTTCCTTGGATGACAACTCCTCCAAAGATATCTGCTTCCCTTAGGCTGTTCTGGGTCATGGAACCTGAGGGTACAAGGGGAAATGTTGCCAAATTAGTCTTTCTTTTTCTTTTTTTTCTGAAAAGACTTAGGGAGTTTTAGTAGACAGCAAGCTCCATACAGATTAAGTGTGATGGATTAGCCAAGAAAGCTAGTCTTAGGCTTTGTCAGATTTTCATAAAGCTCTTTACAGACATCCTCATTTGAACTTTACAACACGCCTGTGAGGTAGCAACTATAGTTATCCCCATTTTACAGATTAGAAGACTGAGGTTCTAAAAGAGGAAGTGACTTGTCCTTGGTAGCATAGCTAGTCCAAGGTGGGATTAGATCCCAAGACTAAGAAGACGATAGCTTCTATATACCCTGCCCAGGTTGGACCACATCTGGGCATCATACTTGTGGAAGAACATTGATAAGCCAGAGAGCACAGGAATTCAAAGCAGACAGTTTGAGGACTGGTTGAGGCTATTTAAACAAATCAAAGATTTGGACAAGGAAGAGAAACCTGTTTCCAGGTGTTTGAGGGGCTATCAAGAAGAAGAATTAGGGGGCAGCTACGTGGCGCAGTGGATAGAGCACTGGCCCTGAAGTCGGGAGGACCTGAGTTCAAATCCAGCTTCAGACACTTGACACTTACTAGCTATGTGACCCTGGGCAAGTCACTTAACCCCAATTGCCTTAAAAAAAAATTAGTCTTGGTTGCCTTGGTAGTATCACTAGGCAAAACTAGAGACAACAAATAGAAAATGCAAAGGGGCAAAATTAAGTTTGATGTAAAGAAAAACCTAATTGGAAAATACCTAATGTAGAATGAGCTGCCTCTGGGAATCATAGATTTCTTCTCATTTGGAGGGCTTCAAGTAGAGATTAGGCAACTTCTTGGGTCTATGGTACAAGACATTCTTGTCAAGATACAGGCTTCTGTAGATATCGTCTAACTTTCTGGTTGTTTATGTCTGAAAGTAGATGGCTAAGGCAGAAATAAGAACATGAGGAATTTCTCTTTTCTCCAGTAAGTATCATCCCTCTAGTGGTCTAGATTCTGTCTCATGGTAGAGTAGAACCTAGAGGACCCTTAGAACCCAGAGTGATAGAACTAGGTCTGTTAATCCCATTTTTCCTATAGCCTTTCTTGCCAAAATGGAGCACGTCTTTTTTTTTTTTTTTTAAATCTTTTGTTTTTGACTAAAATGGATACTTTTGTCGCTTTTTAAGCTTAATTTCAAATTGTGTTTTCTGGAAGGATTATTCACTAACCGAGTACCTGACTTTTCATGCCTCCTATGTTGGCTGTTCCCATGTCTTGTCCTCTTTGTCAGTTTGTTCAGTGTGAGGTGAAACCTCGGGGTTGTTTTAACTTACTTTTTTTTGTACTGCTATTCAGTTTTTAAAATTTATTTATTTATTTTTAGTTTTCAACACTCACTTCCATAAGATTGAGTTCCAAATTTTCTCCCCATCTTTCCTCTTCCCCAAAATGGTATGCACTTTGATATAGGCTCTCTATATATATTCATATTGAACTTATATTCACATTAGTTGTGTTCTAAAAAAGAATTAGAACCAATGGGTAAAACCAAGAGAGAAGAAAAAAACAAAAAAAAGGAAAAAAGAGAGCAAATAGTATGCTTCAATTTGCATTCTGACTCATAGTTCTTTTTCTGGATGTGGATAGCATTTTCCATCATGGGTCCTTTGGAGTTGTCTTGGATCCTTGGATTGCTAAGAAGAGATCCATCTTTTAATTCACTTCTTAATAGTGATTTGGAACAATCTTTTGTAAGGTTAATATGCTGTTTTCAGTTCTTTTGATAATCCTTTGTTCATATTCTTTGAGCACTTGGCCATTGAGAAATGACTTTTAGTCTTGTATGTTTGATTAGTCCCCTTTATCTTGAATATTAAACCCTCATCAGATACTTGATATGAAGCTTTCTATAATTGATCCTTCCTATCCTAGTTGTGTATTGATTTGGTTAATGAAAAATTCATTTTTTTTGTCATTAGCATTTCTTTTTGTGATTGCCTCTTTACCTTCTTTGCTTAAGAATTTTACCCCTAAACATAGCTGCAATCAGGTACCCGATCTTTTCCCTGCTAATCTTTTATGGTGTGACCTGAATATTGAGTTATAGCAATTGAGTTGATTGGGCCTTTCTCCTCCCCCCCCCAATGCCTCATCAAAATTGTTTGTAGGTAGCAAAGACTAAACTAGTAGGAAGAGAATGAAATGTGCCAGAAGGGACAGGAATCCAAAGTACCAGTAGGAAGATTGTGACCTTTCCATTCCCCCTCTCCCAATATTTAGAAGGAACACATTTTCATCTGATTGGAGTAAAGAAGGAAAAAATGGGGGGGTATGACACATTGTACTAAGATTTTATGTGAGAAGAAGGAATTGGTGGCCAATAACCTATTTTCCTGGTATAGTATGAGACTGCTAAGTCATCTGCTGAGAGATGGGGAGTACTTGTGGGAGGCATGAGAGAAGAGAAGTTTTGGAACAATCACTGAGTACAATATGACTCAATTAAGGAGAAGAAAAAAGATTGCCTTAGCATAAGGAAGACTTAGTTGAGATTGTTGGGTTATTTTCATTGTGTCCAACTCTTCATGACACCATTTGGGGCCTGGATGTTTCTTGAAAAGATACTAGAACTCTTTGCCATTTCCTTCTCCAGCTCATTTTACAGAGGAGGAAACTGAAGCAAATGGAGACAAGTGACTTGCCTAGGGTCACAGAGCTAGTAAATGAAGTCAGATTTGAACTTGGGGAGATGAGTCTTCCTCTTAATTTGGGAACTTAGAACTATACTTGCCTCATCCTCAGGTTTTATGTGTATAAAATGAAGGGGCTGGTGCGGTCTAGAAGGGCCCATAGAGTTCTTCTATTTATCATCCTATGGAGACTCAAACTTCCAGTGGTCATACTAGGAAAATTCTCTACCCAGCAAAACTGAGTATAATCCTTCAGGGTAAAAAAATGGTCATTCAATGAAATAGGGTATTTTCAAGCATTCCTGAGGAAAAGACCAGAGCTGAATAGAAAATTTAACTTTCAAATACAAGACTCAAGTGAAACATGGAAGAGGTAAACAGGAAAGAGAAATCATTAGAGACTTATTAGGGTTGAACTGTTTACATTCCTGCAAGGAAAGATGATGTTTATAATTCATGAGTCCTTTGTCAGTATTAGGGAAGTAGGAGGGGAAAAAAATTATATGTATATCTAGATAGATAGAGAGATGGCACAGGGTGAGTTGAAGATGAAGGGGTGATATCTGGAAAATAAAATTAAGGGGTGAGAGGATTGTACTGGGAGAAGGAGAAAGGGAGAAGTAGAATGGGGTAAATTATCTTACATGAAACAGACAAGAAAATGCTTTTACAGTGGAGGAGAAATGGGGGAAGGTAAGGGGGAATGAGTGAATCTTATTCTCATAGGATTTGGCTTAAGAAGAGAATAACATACACAGTGGGGTATGGAAATCTATCTTACCCTACAGGAAAATAAGGGGGGAAGGGGACAAGAGAGCAGGGGGTTGATAGAGGGGAGGGCAGATTGGGGGAGGGGATAATCAGAAGCAAACCCTTCTGAGGAGGGACAGGGTCAAAAGAGAGAACAGAATAAATGGGGGGTAGGATAGGATGAAAGGAAATATACTTAGTTTTTCACAACATGACTACTATGGAAGTGTTTTACATGACTACACATCTATAACCTGTATCGAGATGCTTGCCTTTTCAATGAGGGTGGGTGGGGAGGGAGGAAGGGAGAAAATTTGTAACCCAAAGTTGTAAAAACACATTAGATAAAATAAAAATGACCTTAAATATGAAAAAAAAGAAAATTCTCCTAATGATTGGCACTATCCAAGAGTAGAAAGGACTCTCTCGAGAGTTCCTTGTCACTCTAGGTCTTCAAGTGGGGATATTGGGAGGATTCCTGTTCAGGTACAGGTTGAAGCCTTATCTGTATAAAGTCCCTTTCCATTCCTTGACTTGGTGCCAAAGAGACTCCCAAGATATAGAGCCTCTGGGAAAAGTAGACCTTGGAATGCTTTACAGCCTTATTAGGAGAAGGGTGGGTTGGGAGGCTCTGAGGGATCAGTGGAAGAGTATTCTCGGCCCCAGAGCAGCCCTGGGCTGCCCCTCACTATCCTTTGCTTCCTTTTCCAGCTATCTCTCTAACAGTAGAAAACTACCAAGACAAAATGAAGAACCAAGAAGGAAAGAAGATGCATAAGGTACAGGGGCTAGGGCTTTTACTCGAGTGGAAGTAAGTATATTCTGGAGGGAAAATTCATGGACTAGCAATTTGGAATCTTTTGCATGTCCTGGATCCCCCTCAGCAGTTTGGTGAAGCCTATGGACCTCTCTAAAAAAAAATGTTTTTAAATACATAGAATACATAGAAAACAAATGATATTAAAAATATGGTTCTTAAAATACCTTTTTGGAAAAGATTAAAAACTCACAGACCCCAAGTTAAGAACCACATTGATGGAATCCACTAGGGGGAAAGGTCAGCATGAAAAAACCATCCAGAGTCCTGGGCTTTGGAGTTGTTCCTTGGTTCTAATTCTGCCACTGATAGTCACTAGGTATGTAACCCTGAATATTTTCACTTGACTCTATGGTGCTCCATTTCCCCAACCATAAGAAAACGGGGTTCCTAATGTCTCTAGTAACCTACCTTATAGAGTTGGTTGGAGGCTCAAATGAAAGAATGGATGAAAAATATATGGTATCCCAAAAGCCTTGATGAATTTTGGGATGCCCTATATTGTTAAAAGGGAGTGCTCTTTGGAGAAGGGAAAGGAGTCAGTGGGAAGGGATAGTCATAGGAGGGGAGAGAAGAAACTAATTATATTAATAACTAACATCATATGTCACTTACTTAGCACAATGCCTGGTACATAGTACTTTACAATTATCTCATTTGATCCTCACCACAATCCTAGGAGATAGGTGCCATTATTCTCCCCATTTTACAGATGAGGAAACTGAGGCAAACAGATGAAATAACTTGCCCAGGGTCACACAGTTAATAAGTGTCTGAGGCTGGATTTGAAATCCAGACGAAGGGCATTATGGCCCTCTATGTTTACAGTCATACAAGTATGTAAAAGGCTTTGCTAATATTGGGGGGGGGGAACCATGTATATCAGTTATTCTACTGCTTTGAGGAGGCAGGGATGTCCAGGATCTCCAGATAAAGGAAGGCAAGGAGAAATATTTGAGTATGACAGGGTTATTTTCTTTGATTTTCTGTATTGAAAATTCTACCTTTGAGTTACTAGCTAGATTTTTCTAAATTCTGAATTATATATAAGGCAAATTATAGTCAGCTGTGTGGTATGCTAGACAGGTCATGAAGATTTGGCTTCAAATCCAGCCTCAGACGCTTACTGTGTGGCCCTGAGCAAGTCACTTCACCTGTCTGCCTCAGTTTCCTCAACTGTAAAATGAGGATAACAATAGCACCTATCTCCCAGGGGTTGTTGTGAGGCTCAAATGAGATATTTATAAAGTGCTTAGCACTGTGTCTAGCACATAATAGATGTTTAAATGCCTATTTCCTTCACCTCGTCCAATATTTAGTCTTTATGTCAGTCCAGGCAGAGTTACAAGGATGACTCATTTCATAAGTCTGGGGTGGAGGAATGGTCCTCTGGAGCCCGTGTTTGTCTTTTCAGGGAAGAGTCTTTTCCCCCTGGCGGGGGCCCATCATGCTTGTCAACTGTGGATGCAAAAATAAATACCCACCTGACACAGATAAATATAAAGAAGAAATTCTTGACAAAAAAGGTAACTTGGTGCATCACCCATCCTGGGGAGCAGCCTTAATCTTGGACTGGGCCCAACCTAATAACAGCAAAGTGAATTTATTCAGTGAATTTATTCAAAGCACTGCATAATCCACCCCCACCCTACCCCCATCTAGAGTAAAATGTTTCCCTTATGTTAAAAGAACTTGGGGGTAGGGCCAGAGGACAACAAAGGAAGAACACTTTTAGAAGAATTTAGAATTGGAAATCTGGATTCGATCAATAGGCATTAATCAAATATTGACAATACATCAGGTGTTTGTGCTGGGGATACAAAGTCAAATGAAAACCCTGACCTCAAGGAATTTACAGCCTAGGGGAATGGAAAATGCATTCTCAAATAAGAAAAAACACAAAATGGATTTTGATGCACATTTGAGAGAGGACAACAATGAAGTAAAGGGCTGTAACCACTAAAGTAAACCCCAAGCCCAACCACGCAGCCAAATTACTAATTTAGAGGCAGCTAGCTACACAGTGAATGGGACACTAATCCTGGAGCTGGGAAGAACTGAGGTCAAATCTTCTTGGGCACTTACTAACTGTGTGACCCCTAGGCAAATAAACCTTTCTGCCTTAGTTTCCTCATTTGTATAAAAAGGAAAATAATAGCACCTGCAGGGTTGTTATGAGAATCAAATGAGAAAATATTTATAAATTGCTTAGCAAAATTTAAAGTTCTATATAAATGCTAGCTACTTAAAAAAAAAAGACTAGTAGGGTTGTTGTTTTTCAGTCTAGAGATAAAATGCATTCTCATGCATTCTTTGCCCAACTTTGAAGCTATATGTCAATAGATTCTCTTTCATATAGCTCAGGAGCCCCCAATAATCCAAACAAACTCTTTCCCTTTTCATATCTGTGTACCTTACTCGCCCACTGCCTCTCTCTCTGATTTCATTTTCTCGGGAATGAAGCACACAGATCAGAAGTGGCTATGATTGACCAAGCTTTATCTAAGGAGGTAATAGTGCTTCTTAAATAGAAGTATAAACAAACTTTGAAAAACATAAGTTTAGATTTAACATAAGCCCTCTAGGACCAAGTGAGAGATGGAAAGAAGAACCATAACCTCTCTAGCATCTTTACTGGTGAAATTCTTCACCCAGTATCCCTTTCTCGTCCCCACCCAGATTACCTTGTAGCCACAACAGGTACCTGAAGGAGCAGGCCCTGTGCTTGTAAAGGGGCTGGTAAGAAAAAGCTGTCCCCCTTTTCATTTTCAATGGGTCAAAGTAAGTCACCAAGGCTGAGAAGGCATGGATAGGTTGTGCTCTCTATTATAAATCTCTTTACAATATCTTTTTTCCCAACCTTCCTATACTATTTCAAGGATGCTTCCAGTCACTGAAAGTCATAACTTTAATGACGCCCTAAACTCTTCATTTCATTCTCTTCATGTATCGAGTTGGCTGCCAGATCTTGTCTTTTATATACCTTCAGCATCTTGTATCTGTTGCCTTCTTTCACTTGGCTCCCACCTTAGTCTAATCACTTGCCTAAATTATAACCTAAGTCTCTTGATTGATTTCCATGCCTCAAGCTCCTCTTCTCCAATCCATCCTCCACACAGCCCACCGAAGTCACTTTCCTAAAATGTAAGTCTAATCACATCATACCCCTATTTAATAAACTCCAACGGTCCCCTAATAATTCCCAAGATCAAACATTATTTCACCTTACCATTTTAAAATGTTGACTTTTGTGTAAGTTTTATACAGTAATATATGTATATAATTTGAAAGTATACATATATTGGATTTGTGAGCAAATTTTTTCAGTGGTAGTGGGTGATAAAAAAGTCTTGGAGATGGGCTCTAGGACATAGTGAGAAAAGAAGAGGGTATTAAGTCTGGAGCTAGGCTGTGAAAGGCTGGAAGAGATGAACAGAAGTTTGCATCCTATCCTAAAGGCAAGAGAGAGCTGCTTGAGCAGGGCAGGGATGAGGGCTTGCTATAGATCTTATAGGTCTGGAATTGGAGGTTCCCTTGGATTCCCCACCCATCTTACAGATGAAGAAACTGAGACCTAGAGAGGTGAAAATAATTTTCCCAAGGGAGCACAGATAGTAAAGTGGCAGAGACAGGATTCAAAGCCAGGTCTTCTGACTCCAAATTCAGAACCCTTTCCACTGTCCCATATGACATCCCCATGTGCAAGGCTGTAAGCTCAAAAAAGCTGAAAATCCTAATGGGTCTAAATGTCAGTTTATGTGTTCCAGAATGAGGGCACCAAATCTTGGGGTGGGGAGGAGTCTTCTCCTGAGGTTAAGGTTGGGGATATTGGCCTTTTTAATAATTAAGGCTATCTAAAAGTGGACTACAGATACTTTGAAAGAATGAGTTCCCTGTATCACAAAGTATTCATGTAGATGCTTAAATCAGGAGGGTTATCCTTGGGCTTTCACAAACTAGCTGCTTCTTTTCCCTTCCCCAGCTATTCATCAAATGTCAAAAATGTTCTTGAGGATACATTCCCCACTTGGATTTTTCAACACCCATCAACTAACTATTAATTGTTCTCACCCAAACAAAGTGAGACTCTTTGGAGTTGAACGTGAGTATCCTTTTGGTCTTTGGGACCCAACGTGGGGCTGTAGTAAAAAGGAGAGAGAGAAGACTGGGAACCAGAGGACCTAGCTCCACATGGAGACTTGGCCACTCACTGCCTGTGAGTGACTTCCTGCGCTTCAGCTCCCTTTTCTACAAAATGATAGATGGTAGGTAGAAGACCTCCAAGGTCTTTCCAACTTAAAATTTAGGACCCTGTGAAATAGGGAGGTGGGAGTAAGAGGCCTGTAAGACAGAATGGCTTATGCAACCCTTGTACTGACAAATACAAGTTCTGGTTCTGACAAAGGTTTCCTCCAAGGGTCCCTAAGCCTTGCGCATATACAATCACTTGGCCCAAAAGGTCTGTGACAAAAGAAAGAAGATAATTATAACTGGGAATCCTTTACCTGCAGGTTTGTTTTTGGTGTTGGAGAGAGGGACAATATCACAAAGGCTAACTAATAGTGGGCCTCTTCATGCTGTCGGAGGGGTAGAAGGTGGGTTCTCGGGAGAACCTACCATTGGGTGACAATGGGGGAGGATTTAAATTGGGTTAAAGACCAGTTTTGTAAAGCATGAGCCAGCAGAAGACGAAAAAGAGAGGTATAGTGGAAAGAGGGATAGATTTGGGATCTAAGGTCCTCCGTTCAAATCTGGTCTCTGCTGCTAGCTGTCCCTGTGAGTGGAGGCAAGGTTCCTGACCTCAATTCCCTCATTTGTAAAATGAGGCATTGGACTCTGAAAAGGCACATCTGGCTCAAATGTTATACCCAAAGATGTCTATCTTTAGATCCTTCCACTCAATCTCTAGCTGCAGTATTAAACTGAGCTCAGATTCAATGTCATGGGAAGACCTTAAACATCTAGTCCAGGGGTTCTCTATCTTTCTGTGCGTTATGGACCTCCTCTCAACACAATGTTTTAAAGTAATGATAGGCAACTAGATGTAGATGAAGACTGGAGTTCAAATCCATCCTTGGATGCCTCCTGGCTTTGTGACCCTGCCCAGATTACCTTAGCTCTATTTGGGTATGATAATAATAGCACCTTCCCCTCCAGGGTGATTTGGGAAGATAAAATGAGACATTTTGAAGTGTTTTGAGAGCATCAAAGCACTATAAACATGCTTTTGTTGTTGTTGAATTGTTTCATTGGTGTCCTACTCTTGGTGATTTCATTTGGGGTTCTGCTGGCAAAGATACTGGAGTGGTTTGTCATCTCCTTTTCTCCAGCTCATTTTACAGATGAGGAAACTGAGGCAAACGGGGTAAAGTGACTTGCCCAGGGTCACGCAACTAGTAAGTGTCTAAGGCTGGATTTGAACTCGGGAAGATTAATCTTTCTGATTTCAGTCCCAGCACTATGCACTACGGTACCACCTAGCTGCCCCCATACACATCCTAGCTCTTGTGTGTGTATATATATAATTATATATGCATTATTACTATATCATAAACGATCATATATTATTATAATTATGTTTCTACAATTTTATATTTGAAGGAAATGCTAAATTTCAGTGGTTTCATGGAAAACAAAGATGACCTTTTTTCCCCTCTCCAAGTTCATGGACTCCTTGAAATCTATCTCCAGATACTTTGGGGATCTGTAGACCCCAAGTTAAGAATTCCTGATGGAGTTTCACTTCCTCATTTAACAGATGGGAGTGAAATGCCTTGCCCACACCTCAAAGTAGCAGAATAGATTGGAGCCAACTATCCTGTCTCCTAGTCTTCCAACTACACATTACTTACTAGTCATTCTTCAGGCTTTAAAAAAACAAAACAAAACCCAAAACATCCACGAGCAGTCATGCCAGCTTCTCTTGCTTTACTCCTCCACCCCCCCAACTGCCTCAAACTACTCTAAATTCAGCTCTTAGACCTCAGGGAGGGGAAGAAGGGAGAAAAATAAAGTTCATCTTTCCCTTTCTTCTTCTGAGCTCAGAGAATTTCTTTTTTGCTGATTCAGTTATTTGTAAAGCTGAGAGTTTTCCAGCTTGGTCTTCCAAGCAGCTGGAGGGGTTGATTCTGGCCTCCAGCAAAAAAAAAAAAAAAGTTTTTTGTGTTGTAGTTTTTTGTTTTTGTTATTTTGGTTTTGTTGAGTTTTTTTTTTTTTTTAACCCAATGCTACCACAGCCTAACCACTATTTGAAACAAAATCTGGAGCTCAAAAAAAGGGAACCCAGAGTAAATTAATCTTCATCACTATTGTAATCTGTCCCAATCTACCTTCCTCTTCACCTGTTCTGTGTCTTCCCCTATAATCACTAGCCTAAACTGCTCAGTCCACTTAAACCAGAAACGGTTGGGGAGGGGGCTAGTATACCAAGAAACGTTCAACATAAGGAAGCAAGCTGTTAGCCTATGAAGGTCCTCAAACAATGTAAGCAGACAGTCTTTGGATGTGGCTCCTGAGGGGAAACCCATAGGCCTAGGAACATAGCTGCTAACAATACCTTCTATCTAACTTGCAAAGATCTCCAATCACCACCAGGTTACTCCAACAATACAGTGGCATGCTCCTTAAATTTTGAGCTGGCTAAACTGACCCTCAGTGCAAAGTATCCTATTTTGTGACCTGGGGCAAATCATCTCTGGGGGTAAGGGGTTGAAATGGAGACTGGTTTAAACTAGCTGGCCCTCTAAGGTCTAATATTAGCCTTTTTTGTAGGGGATGTCATTCCAGGTATTCTTGTTTGGCTTCAAGGAGAGGCTATGCACACCCACATTCTTCTTTGTTGACCCATTGGTCAACAATAGTCATAACAGCTATAAGAGCTATCGGTAGCTAAGGAATAACTTTTTAGTTTCATCCCAGTAGGCCCAAAGGTTTGGAAGACTGAATTTATTACCTTGGGGTAGCAATGAGCCACTGAACCTGGATGTCCCACTCTGCCCCACACCCCCAACTCAGAACCAGGGAACTGCCCCTGTAACCAGCCTCATACTTTCCTTCTCCTAGGACCCACCATAAATCCTCCTTACAGAATGGTGCTGGGGCCAGGCAAACCTTCCCATGTTGTCACACATCTGAGAAACCGAGAAAGACGGAAATTTTATGTGGAAGCACTTTCCTTCCCAGATGCTGACTTCTCTGGGTTGGTTTCTTTCACCGTCTCCCTTCTGGATAATTCTCATGGGGTATGTGTGGGAATGGGCACTGGACTGGTAGTGGAGGAGGTTGGTGAAGTCTGGAGAGCAAGTTAGAGAGATAGCTCAACACAGGGGTAGGGTGGGTAGGATTTAAGAAGTCATCCCATGTAAGGGGCTGGGGAGAAACGGGAAGGAAAAACTTGGGAAGGAGGGGTTGATTCTGGCCTCCAGTAAATATGAATGCTTGAGAGCTGGCCACTTGGGAGCCTAGATTTTTTTTTTTTTTAAGTTGGAAGGGATCTTGGAGGTCACCTCTCCCTGCAGATGGGAGAGCAGAGACCCAGAAATGACTCGCTCAGTTAAGAAGCAGCTGAGTAGGGATACGAACCTAGGCTTTCTATAACTCTAAAGGTTAACAGCTTTCTACTACACCCCAGTCTCGTCCTGCCTCCCATAGAATGTCTCTGGACCTCCGATTCATAATGTAGGATTGGTTTTCCGTGTGGCACCATGGATCATGACTGCTAACACCCAACCACCCGTGGAGATCTATATGACCAAGTAAGAGTGAGGCCCCAGTAAACCTCTGGCGATTCTTCTTCCTCCTGCCCTAGCCTCAGCCCCACGACTCTGTGCCAGTGCATGGGACAAAGTTTTCTAATGACCCATCTCTGCCACCTCTGGACCCCATTGGAATGAGGCACTACCCCCAAGTGAACTGTGCTCTTCGTAGGAGCCTGGGCCAAAAAGTGTTCTTGTCCATTCATACTCTCCTCCAAATTACTCAGTATTTATTGTGTGTAGGTATCTGCGTATGTGTCTATTTTTCTATCTTGATATACGCGTGTACGTACAACATACATACATGTATATGAAGACATGCACACATGTATGTATATACATATAGGTATACATACTGCATACATGTATACATGATTATGCGTCTATGTGTGCGTGCGTGTGTATATGTATGTGCATATGTGTAAGTATATTGAATGCACGTTCCCCTACCTCAAGTAAAACATAAGTTTCTTGAGGGTAGGAACTGTTGTTTCTTGTTTCTAAAGCCCCAGTGACTCCCACTGCCTGGCACATGGGAGCCTAAACCTGGAGTGTTTCTCCTGCTTTCCCTTCCAGCACATTGAAGCAATCGCCCCTGCATCCTTGGAAATTTTGGAAGTACACAGAAAGTAAACTGCCTATTAGGTGGTTGACGGGGTCATCGAAGCCAAATTCAACAAGAAACAGGTTTGTTCTAGGGTTTAGAGTTTTATGTAGGTGCCCAGTGGCTAGAGTGCTGGGCCTGGAGTCAGGAAGACTCATCTTTGTGAGTTCAAATCTGGCCTCAGACACTTACTTGCTGTGTGACCATAAGCTATATGACATAAGCAAATCACTTCACCCTGTTTGCCTCAGTTTCTTCATCTGTAAAATGAGCTGGAGAAGGCAATGGCAAACCACTCTAGTATCTTTGCCAAGAAAACCCCAAATGGGGTCACGAAGAGTCTGACACAACTGAAAAACAATTGAACTATCTTCTCTGTTCTCACCTAATCAAGAGTATGTCCATAGATGTTTAGGTCAGGTCTCTAGATATCTGGCAAGTCACAGCAGTTTCCAACCTGAAGGGTTGAAGGAGAGGCAGGTTGGAAATTTTTCCTTAATCAGCTCAGGTCCATTACCTGAGATGCCTCATGAGTTCTAGAGTGGCTTTCTCCAGTGCCGAGGATTGGGACATCGAAATCTGCTCAGAGCAGATCAAAATGGCAGAGAGAAAGTGTAGGGATTGGAGCAAGGGCCCTAGAGATTTGCCCCATCCTTTTTTTTAAAGTTGAGTTTTAGAAGGAAGGGAAGAAATGGAAAACACTGAAACTAGAACTTAAAGACCGTCAGCCCTCAGCAAAATAACTTAATCCAAGCAGAGAAAGCCTAGGGAGGGGACTTCTGCTGTAGAAACACCTGATCTCATTTCATGGACCAGATCAGAGCTCTAAAAGTAGTTCAGAATTAAAACTAAGAAGTTACCCACAGAGAACAGGAGGAAAAGACTAAATATTCCCTTTTCCCCTCCACCTCCCCTCCCTTCCCCTCCATTGATGGATATGGATAGAAAACAAAATGGTGAAACAAGTTATCACCTGGAAGCCAATGTTCTGTTGAACCTTGGCCCACTTAGCTAGATTGGTACATAGCCATGGACCATCGGGCTCATACCCTAAGCCCTTCTACCTAGAGGAGAACTTTCGAGCTTGTGTTCTATTCTGCTTCTCAGAATGCAAAGCTTTTTCCATGACATGCTAAGACTTTGGAGGAGAAGGACAGAGGTGATAAAGTAGGCCTTGATACTCTAAATGGATTGCCAGTCGTGATGTGCTAAGGGACCCTCTGCTTAGGAGAAAGGCAATAAAGGCAGAGTCATGACTATTATCCCTTGGGCCTAGAGTGAATTTGCAGACTGACCAGACCAAGCAGCATGATGACAAATTTAGGTGGGACAAGGGAATGGGGAGAAGAGGCATTAGCCCCTGTGATCAGAAAGAGACCCTGGTATACAGCAAGTTTGGGGGGGCGGGGCTAAAGGAAAAGCTCCCCGGGGTTGTAACAAAAAGAAGCATGTACCCATTTGGAAGCTTCCTATTCTGAGAAATTGTTATTAAACTCGATTGTCCCTAAATTACTGAAGGAGTACAAGCATAGTAAACCCCTCTAACTTACAGCACTCTCGGACATGTCCCCAGTGGCACCGTGTTAGTTAAAGCTCTGGTCAAGGCTTTGTTTCCCAAAGTCTTTGTAAAGAACCCTTTTTCAGGTTTAGGACCATGGATACAAAAGTAATAGGGGCCCTCACCTGGAAAAAAAAAAAGATTCCTCCTTATAGAAGGGGATTTGATTTGAGTGGGATAACACCCTGCTGGTTCTTTGCTTTCTTCCAGATCTATGCCTGATTCAGAATTCATGACTACCGTCCTTAACTATTCCTACGTAGCTCATTGTGAGCTGACTTTCTGCCTCAAGGACAAAATTCGACTGGACACATGGATTGGGGTAACACCAATGGGTTGAAGAGCCTAGCTCTCTGAGCTCCCCTCCCTGTCTCAATGGTCCCATTCTCTTGGTTGGGAGGGACAAGGTGCAGAGGTGGGGAGGGGGCATGCTGGTAGGGCTACTCCTGTATGCACAGAATGGACAAATGGGTTATATGGGATAAGATGGGTTTGGTTCCTGACTAAGGACCCTGGAGGAAGGAAAGGGGATTGGGAGCCTCAATTGGGATAACTTGGGACAACCATTTAGAGCATTAACCTTGGCAAGGCCTCTATTGATAAACCTGAGCAATTGAAGCTAATAACAAGACAGTCATATTCAGATTACTCGAGTATAGAGTAAGCCCCTAGTTGATATAAACTTTGTCTATTTTACTCATGAAAGCATTTAGAGATATAAAATTTCTTCTAAGGACAGCTTTTGCTGCATCCCAAGAGGTCTGGTACGTTGTCTCATTATTGTAAATTCTCTTGGATGAAGTTATTGACCATTTCTATGATTTGTTGTTTAACCCACTCATTCTTTAGGATTGGACTATTTAGTTTCCAATTAACTTTTAGTCTATCTTTCCATGGTCCTTTATTACAAGTAGTTTTTATTGCATTATGATCTGAAAAGGATGTGTTTAATATTTCTGCCTTTCTGCATTGGATTGTGAGGTTTTTATGCCCTAGTATATGGTCAATTTTTGTGTAGATGCCATGTGCCATTGTATATTCCTTTCTATCCCCATTCAGTTTTCTCCAGAGGGCAACCATATTTAAGTTTTCTAAAATTCTATTCATCTCCTTAACTTCTTTCTTGTTTATTTTGTGGTTAGATTTATCTAGTTCTGAGAGGGGGGAGGTTGAGGTTCCTCACTAGTAGTTTTGCTGTCTATTTCTTCCTGTATTTCCTTTAACTTCTCCTTTAAAAATTTGGATGCTATACCATTTGGTGCATATATGTTTAGTAATATTATTTCATTGTCTATGATACCGTTTAGCAGGATGTAGTTTTCCCTCTACTGTATTAGGTTTTCGTGCCTTTTCATGTGATGTAATTTACCTTTGCCTGCCTCCTCCTTTCCTCTTCTCCCAGTACAATCCCTTTTCACCACTTAGATTTTTTTATCATCACATCAAAGTCAACTTATACTCACATCCTCTAAGTATCCCCCTTTTAAATGTCATAACATTACAGTTCTCAAGAGTTACAAGTGTCATCTTCCCTTGTAGGGATAGGTTTACCCTTATTAATGTTTTTTTTTTCTTTCCTGTTTACATTTTTATGCCTATCTTGAATTTTGTATTTGAAGTTCAAATTTTTTGTTGAGCTCTGCTCTTTTCATCAGGAAGGTTTGGAAGTCCCCTATTTCATTGAATGTCCATAACCTCCCCTGAAAGTTTATGCTCCATTTTCCAACCTGTAAAAATGGAAATAATCGCATATACCTCAAGCTCAAATAATACAGTATATGTAAGGAGCCATAAGAATACTGGCTATCATCACACATTTCTTCTAATAGTCCTACAAGATAATTGATGCATGTACTACCTCTATCTAAAAGTTTGAGAAAATTAAGATTTAGGGAGGTCAAATAGGTTTTTCCCCTTTACAAGGTAGCTAATATATCAATGGAAAGAATACTGGACCTAGAGTCAAAGATCTGAGTTCAAATCCATCCTCTGATACTTACTAGCTGTGTGATCCTGGGCAAGACACTTCAGCTCTACTTGCCTCTGTTTTCTCACCTATGAAATGGAGAGAATAATAGCACTGACCTCCCAGGGTGGTTGTGAGGATTAAATGAGATAATATTTGTAGTTTAAAGGGGAAAAAAGCACTTGGCATAGTGCCTGGCATTTAGTAGGTGCTATAAAAATGTTTTTTTTTCTCTTCCCTCCCACTTACATGACAGAAGCAAGTAGCACCCCTGAGATTTGAATCCAGGTCTCCTGACTCCTGCTCCAGCTTCTTCAATTTGTTGTTGTTTGCTGTTTTTCAGTCATGTCCAACTCTTTCTGACCCCGTTTGGGGCTTTCTTGGCAAGGATACTGAAGTGGTTTTGCCATTTTCTTCTCCAGATCATTTTTACAGATGAGGAAACTGAGGCAAACAGGGTTAGATGACTTACCCAGGGTGACGAAACTAGTAAGTGTCTGAGGTTGAATTCGAGCTCAGGAAGATGGGTCTTCCTGATTCCAAGCCCAGTGCATTTACCTCCTCTGGCATATTTGTTGGTTTATCATATTTAAATGTTTCCCTTGGTTTCTTGGGGCAGCTAGGTGATGCAACAGACAGAGTACTGGGCTTAAGAGTCAGGAAGATCCCAGTTCAGACTTGGAGGAGACACAAGCGAAACGAGGTGGCTGGAGCCAAATGACAGCATTCCATCTAAACTAAGGAGCATCTACTTTCTCCTAGGGAGAATAGGGAGCCAGCAGTCATTTCTGAGCAGGAAATGGACACGGTCACAACTGTGCCTTAGTGAGGAGGAGGTAGCTTCTGCAATAGTGAGTGCCAACCCAGAATGGGACTAGGAAGAAGGGGCCTGGTACAAGACATGATCAAGGAGGAAAATCCAGAAAGATAAACTTGGGCTTGACGTAAAACGTTCCACAACCCTTAAAGCACTATATAAACACTAGCTGTTATTGTTGTTGTGATTATTATTATTAACCATTACAGATGTCCAAATATAGGATGGGCTACCTCAGGAGGTATTGGCTCCCTTCCTTGGGCAGCTCCAAGCAGAGGCTGAATGTCTATTTGTCATATACTCTAATGGGGATCTTTTTAAAGTGTTTAAGTTGGATTAGATGACTGCTGGAGTCCCTTCCGAATGTCCAGTTCTGGTATTCCATAAGGTATCCAGGGAAGGGACTACTTGTCACATTTTGCCTTTGCATCCTTGGCATTTCATATCCCCTTGCTCATCAAATATACAAAGAACTCTGGAAATTTTGAACCTAGCTGTCTGGGGAAAAAAACAACATGGTGCCCCCAACACAAATAGGGCAGGTAGGAGGAAGAGCTGGTTTTGGTAGAGGACAATTACTTGAGTTTGAGATGCTGTGAAATTTTGGCAGAGAGAGCCCGAGAAGCAGTTGGGAGACTAGAGACTAGTTTGTGAGGCAGGAGAAGAGTTGGAGATTACTCGAGTTTTACTTCTATCTCTAAATTTTACACGAAATGGGACACTGGCTCATTTTTGTTCCTTCCCAGAACGAGGTGGCAATTGGGTATACCCAGAGTCCTCAACGATGTTTTCCTGTTTTCCTCGACTTCCCCTGGACCAAGGGATTTGAGGAATTCGAGTTCAAAGACAGTCTGGTACGTAGCTCGGTTGGGTGCAGTAAGCTCTGACATTGTTCCCCCAAGTCTATCATGAAGTCAAGAACAACCTTTACTCATCCATAGCTTTCCTGTTTAAAAAAAATCCTTTCCTTAATCTAGTATCATGAGGTCAATGATGCAAGGTGTTCATTTTCTCCATTTTATAGATGAGGAAACTTGAGGTCTAGATTGGGGAAAATGTGACTGGCACATAGTGGTCAGAGGGAGGACATACTTGAACCCAGGTTCTCTGACTTGGTCTGCAAGTGGTGAAGGGGAGGTTGACCTTTGATGGCTTAGAGGTGTGGGGATGGTCTCAGATGACCTCAGGAATTCCTCTTCCAACTAAATGCTGGGCTAGAGATTGCATTTTTGGAAACACATGAGAAAAGTTGGAAAATGTCCAGCAAAAAGTGGCCAGAATGGGGGAAAAGCTAGGGATGTTTAGCACGGAGAATGGAGAAGATGGGTCAGGTAAGAACAAGATGGCGCATCTGAAAGTATTTGAAGGGCTATCACCTCGAAGATCAACTTGCTCTGTTTGGCCCTAGAGGCCCAAACAAAGAATAATAAAGTCTCAGTTATAAAGAAGAAAATTTATACTTGAGACAAAAGAAATTTTGATTAATAATGAGTTGTTGAATAGTGGAATGGGATTGCCTTGGGAGGTAGTGAGTTCCTCATCCCTAGAGGTCTTCCAGTAGAGGCCAAATGATCACCTGTCAAATGTGTTTGTAGAAGGGCTTCCGGGTCATTTAGGTCTCTTCCAATTCTGAAACTATTCTTCTAATTTTGAGGAAAAGGTAACATTGAAGAGATAGAGTGTGTGTGTGTGTGTGTGTGTGTGTGTGTAAAATTTTTTTTTTTTTAAAAAGCGCTGTTACTCAAAAGACCTGGGTTTGAATCCCAATTTTGCCACTGACTAGTTATTTTACTTGGGGCAAGTCACCTGATCTCCTTGGGACTCACATTTTTTTTTTTTTCCTGTATAATGAAGAGATTTCAAAAACTCCAAGGTTTCTGAGGTCCCATATAGTTCTAACTCATAAGCCTGAATTCTCAACCACATCCTGGCCCACATTAACCAATAGGACCATGATTTTTGTTCAGTTATCCAACACTGACTTCTTTTTCTCTAACTGGGGGGGATGGGACTTCTCCCAGCCGTCATCCTTTGGTTATGTGATCCATGAACGGGAAGATGATGACAACCTGGATGCCACTGGATTCCTGGAAGTCAGCCCACCAGTCACTGCCCATGACATCTTTTATCCCTTGGGCAGGATTCTCATTGGCGATGGCAGCTTGCCCAGGTGAGGAGGAAGTTCAAGGCTTTAGCAGGCATAGGGAATGTGAAAATTTATTTTCCCTACCCCATACATGTCCTTAGTCTTATTGGTAGTTGGTCATTTGTATCCAACAAGTGTCTTTTAAAGTGCTGACTATATGCAAAACATTTTGCTGGGAAAGGGTCAGAATCGGTAAACATTTATTAAATGCCTACTACATGCCAGGCCCTGTGCTAAGCACCAAGAATCCAAAAATAAGCAAAAGACAGTCCCTACCTTCAGGGAGCTCACAATCTAACGGGGGAGAAAATATGCAAACAATGGTTGATATGGTGGGACCTGTACCATGAGACACGCTGAAAGACAGCCGAGCATACGCACTAACTTATGGCAAGTGTACAGTGCATAAGAGCTTTCCACAAAGGGTTTATGTGAGATCCAGTAAGCTAATCCACTCCACATTTGTTAAGCCCCAGTGATGTACAAGGTACTCTTTGGACATGGGCAGATGGAGGGGAGGGAAGGAAACAATTCCTGTCCTCAGGAAGCTTACAGTTATCCCTTTCCTGTTGCGGGGGTTAGGGGTGCGGTGTCCCTCCCTTCTTACTCCCCCACAATCTGGAAAATCCGTGCCAAATTTTTTTGGCCCTCCCTTTGTGCCAGAGAAGAAATCTGAATTTTCTTTTTCTTGTATGGGGTGTTCGCAGTACCTTATTTTAAAAATATAAGTTGATATTACATAATACCATACATATATTTTATGTATTTTTGAGTTTCTAAACTTTTTCTGTGTTACTTGCTTGCCTTTGTATGTTGTCTGCGGCTTCCGCAAAACTTTCCCCAAATTCGCATTTAGTTTCTTATACCAACTCGCGATATATCAAAACTGTGGTGAGGAAAGTCACAACGTGGAAGGGATAACTGTACATTTCTACTGATCAAGTGGGTGGGGAAAGGCTTATGGGAAGAAGCAACTTTAAATCGGGCTTTTGGAGGATGTTGGTGGGATAGTTAAGAGCATTAAACTTGAAGTCAGAAGACCAGGGTTTGAATCCCTCTGTCACTTCCTGTGTAACTTTAGGTGAATCAGTTTATACCTGTGGGGCTTTGTCCCTGCCTCTTTTTTATAAGGCAGGGATGGTGTGTGTGGGATTAAAACACTGTCCTTGAGATCACTACCAGTTCTGAATCCTATGACCTCGTCGTCCTAGAATCTAGATTTTGAGAAGGGGGAAAAAGGACCTTTTGAATCATAGATTTAGAACAAGAAGAAATCTTAGAACCAGAGGTTACCCTAAGTTCACCCCACCCCCTCACTCTTAAAATTAAGAAAAATCAGACCCCAAGAAGGAGCAGAGTCAGGGTTCAAACCCAGGTCCCCTGACTTCAGATACAGCATAAGACTTCTCTTCTGTGTCCAGAACTCTGCTGTCCAAGTTAGGAAAGACACTAATGACTTAAAACTAAAGTTCCTTTAGCCTAGCCTCTCTGAAATAGGCAGAGGGAGACCCATCCTGTCTTTGCAGAGGTGGGGATCTATGGATGTGAAATATTGCATGTATTGTCACTTGGTTTATGTGGTGGTTATTTCTGTAGAATCGTTTTCTAGTCTCTTTTCTCTTCCTTTCCCCCTCCCCCCACAGGAAGCCAGTCTTAGAAAGACATGAATTCTTTGACCCAGTAATACCACTTCTAGATCTATATCCCGAAGAGATCATAAAAATGGGAAAAGGACCCACATGTGCAAAAATATTTATAGCAGTTCTTTTTGTGATGGCCAAAAATTGGAAATTGAGGGGATGCCCATCAATTGGGGAATAGCTGAACAAGTTGTGGTATATGAATGTAATGAACTACTGTTGTGCTATAAGAAATGATGAGCAGGCAGATTTCAGAAAAACCTAAAGACTTTCATGAACTGATGCTGAGTGAAGTGGGCAGAAGCAGGAGAACATTGTACACAGTAACAGACACATTGTGCGATGACTGACTTTGATAGACTTAATTCTTCTCAGCAATGCAAGGATCTAAGACAACTTTGAAAGACTCATGATGGAAAACACTCACATCCAGAGAAAGAATTATGGAGTCAATGCAAATTGAAGCATACTATTTGCTTTTTTTTTTTTTTTTTTGTTCTTTCTTGTGGATCCTCCCATTAGTTCTAATTCCTTACAACATGACTAATGTGAAAATATGTTTAATAGGATATACATGTGGAGTCTATATCAGATTGCATGCCATCTTGGGGAGGGGAGAGGGGGGAGAAAATTTAGAAATCAAAATCTTCTGGAAGTGAATGTTAAAACTAAAATTAACTAATTGGGGAAAAATAAAAAATAAAAAAGAATGGGTTCAAGAATGACCTCCAACACCTAGGAGTTTTGTGAGCCCTAGGCACGTAACTTAAACCTTTCAGTGTCCCAGGGAATCCTCTAGGATTATAAATGGCAGAGAAGGTACCAACCTGCATCAGCAGCCATTCCCTTCCCTGGGAGCAACCAGTGCCAAGGAAGGCAAAAGCCCAGTCCCTAGTTTGTCCTTGCATTCTTCATTAGAAGGAACGGCCCTCTGGGAAGGGAAACAGAATATTCAGACTGAGGGGAGTGATTAAAAACAAAAAAGATTTTTTTTTTAATGGAAAATGAAATGGGCACAATGCTGAATTGTGACCCAGGATTCCCATCCTTTGGCCCCGCTGGCCTTCAGCCTACCTCCCTCCTCTTAAATACCTCCTAGATTTACTTAACTCTTGTGTTTCTTAGGGAAAACATCACAGAAGTGAACCAAAGGCTACGGACATTCATCTATGCCCAGAATATGCAAGACCCCCTAGAACTGTTTTCTGAATGGCTTCTGGAGGGCAACGTGAAAGAATTCCTGACCTTCGTCCCTGCCAATGATGGAAAGGTAGAGGGTGGGAAATGTCTGGTCTGTCTGGCCCAGCTAATGCTGGGAGTGTGTGGGAAGGGGTAGGACCTGATGTAGGTTTGAACAATGTTAGTGAGTATCTAAGTGGACTTGAAGTTAACCCCTTAGGAGAAGAAGCTAGTGACCACATGGTCCAGTGGAAAGAACATAGCTACAGAGTTGGAAAAGCCAAGTTCAGATTTTGACTCTACTATTCCTGGCTGTGTGGCCATGGGCGAATTGGTTTAATCTCTCTGGATTTCATTTCCCCTCTTCTTTAAAATGAATGTTGAACTCAAATGGCCATAGATATATGACCCTAAATAGGTTGGGATCCCTTCATTTGTACTGCTCGCCTCAATCTCCCTGCCCTTCTAAGGGCGAAACTCAATAAAAAGATGGAGACTCTGGATACTACGAGTCTAGGTCCATACCCACAGCCTTCTCATTATAATCTGACTCTTAATCTCTAGTCTGCCAGGATCCATGGTGAGGGGATTAATGGGAACCTCTTCCTCACAACATCAAATCCACAGACTTGAGCACCTTTTGGGTACTAATCTAAGTAGTAGCCACCAGACCTAATGGCCTGCCCCTCACCCCAGTACAAGTGGCTAGTGGCTAGTGGCTACATCTGTTCTCTCTCTATGCCCTCAACAATGTCCTCATCCCACTGAAAACCTTGAAAATCCACAAATGGGATCCACGGTCAAACAGCCCTTCATTGCTCTGTCCTTTTCATCTCTCTAGGGCTTCCGGCTACTCCTGGCTAGTCCCAGTGCCTGCTATGAGCTATTCAAAATGGAGCAAAGACACGGGCATGGGAATGCCTCTGTGTTAGACACAGTGGAAGAAGAACTGCTCTATTATGCTGGTATCTCCCTTCCTCTGATCCCCCCTCATCTTGGCCAGCTTTACCCACAACACAAGTTCCCCCAACACAGCGCTGGGCTCACAAGCATGGGGAAGAAGTGTCTAATGGGCATCCTAAGATATACCTTTACTTATTGCTGGCCTGGATGCTATGAGCTAAGGTCAGTCAACGTGCATTTATTAAGCACCTACTGTATGTCAGGCATTAAGGACACAAAGACAGAAGTAAAATAATCCCTGCCCTCTAGGAGTTTATATTTGAGATGGTCGCTGGGATATTGGAGTAGATGTGGCTAGCAGGCATTGGTGGGAGAACATGGGGGCTGGTGACGTGTTGCCTCCATGGATGGATGCAACTGAAACTATGAGGATGAATGAGATCCCACAGGAAAACGGGAAGAGGAGCCTGCAGGCCTTGGTAGACAGGAGGATGTGGCCACACCTCTGTGGGCAAGAAGGGGAACAAGTGTATGAACAGCTGAGGACCCCCTCCAGCCTTGTCCGTGCCCCTCCCCACCCCACTTCCTTCCCCTCTTGTGATTCGGATGGCTGCCAGTAACATTTGTCCTCATCACCTTGTCTTATCTTTCCTACAGAAAGGATGAGGATGAGTATCAATGAGATCTTGGCTGATAAGCTCTTGCAGAGGCAGAATGACTACGTACAGGTATTGGGGAGGGTGGGAGGAGAAAGACTGGCAGGGCTGGGTGGCTCCGAGCCTGGCTGGGGTCAGAGTCGGGGGCTGGCAGAACCCACAAACTCACCTTTTGTCCCTTGATCACCAATTCTAGATAGAAACTAGAATTTAATTCTCTCTTCCATATCGTATACCCTGGCCTGTGTTGTAAGACTGACAGAGGGCAAAAGTTTGAAGATAAAGGCTAAAAATGGAGTTGGAAACAAATTCCACAAATGTGAATTGCCTGCTATAAGCCTGATATGGGAACCTTTTATTTTTTCCCCTTTCCAGATAAAATCATTGCCCCTCTATTGAAAGGTGGTGTGTTGCAGCAAAGTTAAAGGCTGGAAGTCGGGAGATCTGGGTTGAAGTCCTCAGCCTACCACTAACTCACCGTATGATATGGGCATGTCCCATTTCCTTTCTGGGCCTCAGCATCCTCATTCTTTAAAATGAACAAGTTAGATGGGATTTATTAACAAAGATCTTTTCTAAGCTCTGACATGCTGAGAGTCTGTAGCATTTTAAAAAAATCCCTATTTGGGTCTCAAGAAGATTGTTGGAAAAACGTAGGATTTAAAACCAGACAACCTGAATTCAAATCCTGACTTCCCCGGCCTTGGATCATCTACAAAATGAAGGTTGGATTAGGTGACAAAGTTCCCTTTCTAGCATCATGACGCTTTTCTTCCTTTCTCCCTACGTCAAGACTTGTATCACTTGGAACCGAATGGTGCTGAAGGAAGAATTGGGGCTCTCGGAAGGAGACATTATTGACATTCCCCAGCTGTTTCGCCTGGGCTGGATCCAGGATCCCACCACCAAAAAAGAAGTGCTCCGAGCAGGGCATCTCTTCCCAAACATGGTAAGGAATACGGCAGGGGTGTTCAGGCAGTAGACCATATTTGGCATCTGGGCTTCCTGACTCTGTGCCTAGCTCTTTATCCATCGGACCACCTATCTGTAGGGACAGGCAGTGGCCTCATTACAAAAGATGAGTTTAGAGCTAAGTCTCCAAGGAAGTTGGGCAAGTTGAGGAGAGAGCATTCCAGGCATGGTGGATGACCCTGACAAAAGCATGGCAGATCATGCATGAAGAACATTAAGGCAGCCAAGGTAGCTGGATTATATCATGCATAGTAAGGTGTAAGGAGCCTTTAAATGACAATCAGAGGGATCCATATTTGATCTTAGGGGTAATAGGGAGCTACTGGAGTTTGAAGGTGGGAGAGGTAGGTGACATGGGAGACCTGCATTTCAGGAAAATCCCCTTGGCAGGTGTGCTGAGGATGGATTTGGGCAAGAAAGATTTGAGCCAGGGATACTAATTAGAAGCTATTTGAATAATCCAGAGGAGGGGTGATGCTGATGCAGGACTGAACTAGGGTAGCAGATATGTGAGTAGAGAGAAGGGGAATCCATGAGAGATGTTCCATCTATCTAGACGACAAGAATCCAGCAACAGATTGGACTTTTGGGGTGAGTACAAGAGAGGAGTCAGACACAACAAAGAAAGCTTAGGGTTGGACATGAAGATCTGGGAATCCTCAGCATGGAGGTGACAGATGAACAACGGGAGCCGATGAAATCGCTGAGCGAGTGATGGAAAGGAAGGAGAGTAGAGGGCCCAGGAAAGAGCCTGGTCTGAGATGTCCAGCAGGCAATTGGTAAGGCAGGACTAGAACCCAGGAGAGAGACCAAGGGCTGGGTATTAGTGATCCCAAGAGGCGGGAGCCTAAGCTAGAACCTTGGGGGACACCCAGACAAAGAAGACTCAACAAAACCCTGGGATGGCCCTCAGACGCTTGTCTCCTGCCAACAGGTGACCTCCCAACACTTGAAGTACCTAGAGTTTCTCTAAATAGGTGCCTGAGGTCAGATTTCAACCAAGGCTTACTGACTCTGGGGCAGCTAATGCAGTGGACAGAGTGACATCCCTGGAGTCGGGGGGCCAGAGTTCCAATCCAGCCTCAGATGTTTACTAACTGTGTGACCCTGAGCAAGTCATTTAATCCTGTCTGCCTCAGTTTCCAAATTTGTAAAATGAGCTAGAGAAGGAAATGGCAAACCCCTCCAGTGACTTTGTCAAGAAAACCCCAAATGGGGCCATGAAGAGTTGGGCATGACTGAAAAATGACAACTTCCTGACACCAGGCCCAGCACTCTATCCATCGTGCCACTAGTTACCCCAAAAATGGATACTAAGGTCTCTTCTATCTCTGATTCTGTATCTGTCTATAATAGGTCTTCCTTCCTCTCTTTTAGAACTTTTTCCTTGAAAGTGACCTAGACCCTCAGTGCTACTGATCTTTTTTTCCTTCTCAATGCTCTGCTGCATAGACTGTCTCCTAGGTGTAGGGACTGGGGCTTCTTGACCCCAGATGCTGCTGCTGAGTCTCTACCCTTCTCTTTTTCTTCTTGCCATAGTTGAATATGATCGTCCTAGGATCTTATCTTGGGATCCCCAAACCTTTCGGACCCTTAGTCGATGGAGTCTGCTGTGTGGAGAAAAAGGTCCAGAGCCTGCTAGAGCCATTGGGCCTGAATTGTCTTTTCATCAGGGAATTCTTCGGTCATCAAGGAGATCAGGGGGATGCCTACTATTGGTTCAACATCCGCCGGAAACCATTACCCTACAAATGGTGGAACTTTATCATATGATGGGTCGTTCCCTGCTCTCTTCTCTGCCCTATCTGATGCCCATCTATGGGGTGGTGGCAGGAGTTCTCTCCACTACTGTCTTATCCATCTAGTCTTCTGGACAATCTCTAGCCTACAGTGATGGCCAACGGCCATGTCTCTTCCGATCAGGGGACTGAATCCTAATCTGCAATGGGGTATGGTGTCTGCCTTCAGAGACATCTTAGATCGAGGCACACTTGGCCTTTACCCTTCTGGTCCCCTTGTCCAGTCCATTTTATGGTGCTGAGAGTGACTAAATAACCCACCGCAGAGATGTTACTTACGGCTTGGACCTTGGCTGAGAATTTGAGCAAATATTCAATAAAGCTCCTATTTCATTCAAGTGGTAGCTTCTTTATCATGGGGCTGGGGTAGGGGCCAAAAAAATCCTATTTAAATGTTACTTTCTTTCTTGGCCTTCTGAAGAAAGTGTGGCACAAATTGAAACAAGATGGAATAAGGGGGGGAAAAATGCTGGACTTGGGAGTCAAGAAATCTGGTTTTAAATGGACTAGTTGGGACCAAGGGAAAGTCTGATCCTTATACACATATGGCCCTTATATGCTACTGTAGGTCCATGTCCTTTGTTCTACCATAGCCAGAGCTGGAATGTGTTTTGTAGTTGGGTCTTTCCACCCAACTAGGCCAACTGGAGAACTAGTTAGTTCAAAGGAAGACATTTAAGGAAAGCATAATATACATATGATTTTCCCCTCTACACAGGAATGCTCCTCCTTATCAGTAACTAATTCCTTTGGTGGGAGGAGGAACCACCCACAGGGAATGTGAGACCAGGAAATATACATTCATGGAAGGAATGTGGTGGCCAGGGCAACTCCTACCACTGATGCTGTGTAGACACCAATGTCCTCTAACACTACTGAGTTGCTCCCTGTTATGAGACTCTGCTGTCATCCACTAAGGGACAATGTAGTTTTTCTTCTTTCCCATAGAGGGCAGTATTGTATAATGCTTTAGTTTATAGCCTTGGGATTATTATAGCTCTTTTGTGATGCATACCCCAGAGGGCAGCAGCCAGTCAAATAGCTGGATAGACTATTGGGCCTTTTAAATCTACCAAATGCCTTTTCTCCTGCTACCCCTCAGAAATGGTCTTGATTCTAATTGAACTACAGTTTGACTTTCTATCTCTTGCCAGTATGCCAGTTATGGTCCATACAAGTCACAGGCTGGATGGAGCTGGTGACTTTCACCAGTTTTGTCTACCTATAACTGTTGCTATACTCAAGGTAAATAATACTTGTACTACCCACCTCACAGGCTTGTCATAAAAACAAGAGGTAAAGACATAAGATTGGATAAGAGTAGAAATGGTCCTAATTTTCAAAAGAAGAAGAGAACAATTACTTTGATTCCTGGGAAAATTCTACAATGAATCCTTAAAGATGGATACTTAACGTCTAGAAAGGGAAATCGTGATTACAAAGGGCAGACATGATTTCAGCAAGTACAGGTCACAGACTAATCTCATTGCTTTTTTTTCTTTTTGATAGAGAGGATTACCAAACTATAAAGTACTTACTATTTAAGTACTTAATAAATTAAGCTACTTAATATAAGGGAAGTGCTGTGGATATAATTTAATTTTTGAAAAGTCATTGATAACTGATAATCATACTATTCTTGGGGTAGCTAGATGGCTCAGTGGATAAAGCTCCAGCCTTGGAGTCAGTAGGACCTGAGTTCAAATCCAGCCTCAGACACTTGACACTTACTAGCTGTGTGACCCTGGGCAAGTCACTTAACCCTGACTGCCTAACCAAAACAAAAAAAACAAAAAAAATCATACTATTCTTGAGGTGAGAGTGAAGATATATGGATTAGACAATAATACAACAAGGTTTAGAACTTGGATGTTAGCTAGTCTCAAAGTACAGCCGATCATATCATAGTAGTAAGTCTCCAGTGGAGTTCCCCAGGGATCTCTACTTAGCCGTATTCTGTCAAACATTTAATCACTTGGGTAATGGCATATAAAACATGCTCCTACAATTTTTTAAATAACACACTGGATGACAAATTCAGGATCTAAAAAGATCTTGACAGGCTAGATTATTGGGATGAGTCAAACAAGATGAAATCTGGTAGGAGAAATAATTGACTTTACAAGTATAATGTGGAGAAGGACAGTGTTAGACAACAATTCTGAAAAATATCTGAGGTTTTTAAGGGACTATAGTGAGATATGACAGCTAAATAAGCTAATGAGATCTAGAGAGAAAAGATTGTCCCACTGTGTTTAGACCTGGGCAGATGACAGCTGGAGTAGTGGGGTCAAGACTGGGTACTGCAGTTTACAAAGGTCACTGATTAGCTAAAGGGTCACTAGGATGAGAAAGGGCCTTGAGGCTGTCCTATGAGGAAGAGGGGATGTTTATCCCAGAGAAAACAAGGCTTGTGGGGTGGGAGGAAAAGACATGAAAGATGTCATTAAGTATTTGAAGGTCTGTCCTGTGGGGAGAGATGAGATTTGATCTGTTTGGCCCCAGAGGGCAGAGCCAGGAGCAGGGCAGACAATACCAAGAGAAGAATGTAGACTTGAACCAGACAAGCTATCCAGCACTTTCAGCTGCCCAGAGTGGACAGGGCTCACCCGGAGAGAGAGAGGCGATGGGCCTCCCTCATAGGAGGCCCTCAGGCAGAGACCACTTGTTAAACATTTGGGGGATTCCTTTGGGGCACTAAATGGACACTGAGGTCCCTTCCATCTCTCAAATTCTGGGATTCTCTGACTCTTTAGGGTGCCTTAATGTGCTACAAACATGAGTTATTGTTTTCATTTTACAGATGAGGAAACTAAGACCCAAGCAAAAGTGACTTGCTAAGGATAGGTAAGGCAGTAAATGTTAAAGGGAGGAATCTAACCCCCTTCTCCTAGCTTAATTCCAGCATTGTGGCTACCTTTGCATGTTGACATGTCTTGTTGTTCTCTCTGGGGCTAGCATGGCCCTTGGACTCCAACTCTTCCCCTCAAGACAGAATCAAATCGGGTACTGAGGAAAAGTAGTAGTAAAAGAAAGAAAATAAGCATTTGCTAAGTGTCTACTATGTACCAAGCACCTGCTAAGAGCTTTACAAATATTATCTCAAAAAAAAAAATTATCTCACATGATCCTTACAATGACCCTGAGAGGCAGTTGCTGTTATTATCCCCATTTTACAGTTGAGGAAACTGAGGCAGCAACTGGGCAGTGGATAGAGCACTAAGCCTGGACTCAGGAAGACCTGAGTTCAAACCCAGCCTCACACACTTCCTAGCTGTATAATCTTAAGCAAGTCATTTAACTTGCCTTAGTTTCCTCAATTGTAAAATGGAAATAAAAGCACCTACCTTCCAGGGTTGTTTTGTTTTGTTAATTAATCATGTCTGACTCTTTGTGACCCCATTTGGGGTTGTCTTGACAAAGATACTGGAGTGGTTTGCCATTTCTTCCTCTAGATCAGTTTACAAATGAGGAAACTGAGGCAAACAGGGTCAAGTGACTTGTCCAGGGTCACACAGCACATGAGGCTGGATTTTAATCAAGGTTCTCATGATTCCAGGGCCAAAAATCTACCCACTGTGCCACCTAGCTGCCCTTCCAGGGTTGTTATGAGGATCAAATGAGATACCTGTAAAGCACTCAGCACTGTCCCTGGCACATAGTAGTAGCTATAGAAATGCTAGCTATTATAATTACTAGACAGAAGTTAAGTGACTTCCCCAGGGTCACACAGCTAGGAAATGTCTGAGGTTGGATTTGAACTCGGTCTTTCTGACTCCAGGCCCAGTGCTCTGTGCACTACGGCGCCACATAGCTGCCTCTAAAATAATGGCAATTTCCCCACCAGCTTGCTGGGTGATTTGTGGAAAGTTCCTGGCTATCTCTGGGCCTCAGTTTCCTTTTCTCCAAAATGCAGAGGTTGTTCTACATGAGCTCATCTGTCCCTACCAGATCTAATGGGTAGCAAGGGGGTGCTGGTGCATAGAGCGCTGGGCCTAGAGTCAGGAAGACTCCTCCTCCTAAATTCAAATCCTGCTTCAGACACTTACTAGCTGTGTGACCCTGGGCAAGTCACTTCACCCTGCTTGCCTTAGTTTCCTCATTCTAAAATGAGCTGGAGGAGGAAATGACAAACTACTCCAGTATCTTTGGCAAGAAAACCCCAAATGGGGTCACAAAGAATCAGACACGACGTAACAACAAAATACTGAGGTCAGCCTAATGAGCTCCTCAGTCCCTACCAGCTCTAATGATCAATGATTATCTGCCGCTGATTCTGATTCTTGAGAGGTGGGGAAGCGTGGGTCCCCAGGAGGTAGTTTATCTTAGTGTCCACAGCTCTGCCATCTGATTAGGGCATCTGCTAATAGTGTCCAGGAAGGACCAGAGGGTTAGAGCTGGTGAGGACCTCGGCTGCCATCTGGCCCCAACCCCTCATTATACAGGTGAAGAAACAGATTTAGAAAAGTTAAGTGACCAGCCCACAGTCACACAGCCAGTCAGTATCAGAGGCAACTTCCTAACTCCAAGTCTAACACACTAACAAATGCACTCTAGGAGACCCAATGGAAACCTTCCTGTGATGGCAGCATTTCAGGCACTGTGACCATGTGGTGGGAAGTGACTTTGAAAACAGACCTAACATGTTGAGAGCCCTTCCCCATGATACTGCATCTCCTACCACCAAGCCTTTGCCCTGGCTGTCCCCCATGCCAGGAATGTTCTCCCCCTTCTCCTCTTGGAATCCCAATTTCCTTTAAAACTTGGCTCAAGTATTGCTCTCTATTGTGTGACCTACCATCCCCACTCCCACACCAGCTGCTAGCACCCTCCCTCCCAACACAATTTTGCATTACAATCATGAATTTAAAGCCAGAAGGGGTCTTCAAGGCCATCAAGTCCAACCCCTCCATATTACAGATGAAGAAACTGAGGCTGAGAGGTTGTGACTAGCCCAGGGTCATATGGCTAGCA